ACCAAATGATCAGCATTCCATTCGTCAACTGCGAAGCGTCGTCAGCTGTTTTCTATTAAAAAAAAAAAATTAACGCATTTGTGAATTTATCGCGCTTATGTGTAGTTAAATAAACATATGCTCATAAATCACATAAAGAATGCTTTATCGATATACTCGTACATACATATGAGTACATCTGTTGATTGCTTGCTGTTCGATGTAAATTTAAATTCTTCTTCCACTAGTAAGTCATCACGGTATTTACCATATAGTATGCCTCGCTTATAAGTCATGCGGGCATCCGTTGCGATGACGGTGTTTTTTGCATAAAAATATACATATATGCATAATCATAAAATCAATAAAAAAAAAAACAAAAACAAAACGCATTTATACACTTGCAACTGCAATGCAGGTTTAATGCACAGCAAAGTCACTTCGCCATTCACTCATTCGCCAATCATTTTATTGCACTTTACTACAGGCAATGCATTTTAATTGCAGCTTTATATGCAATACACGGTGTTTGCTGCCAATTTTGTGTATAAAACTCGGCACTACTGATAGTTAATGCAATTCGACGGGTAGTTATTTACATACATACATATCTATATGAAGCCGATTCGCAGAAATATACAAAAGTGACTTAAAGTGTCTCTTTGCATACCTAAATGTTGGTGTCTAAATGGCAGTTTTATGAGTAAATTTTGGTATTTATTTACCGTTAGCGACTGTTGTAGTTGCTTAATAATTACAGTTATTTTAAGATTTTAAGATATCTAAATTGTACTGCTGAAAAAATACTTTTGTAATATTTACTATTTTACAGTTGTATACCTGGTTAAATTTCAAAATAGTTACGAATGTGGAATTGGAAATCTTAATGAAAAATTAAATAATATTTGAAGCAATTAAATAAATTAAGAAATTCAGAAATGTCGTTTTCTTTTGCATCCGACCTGCAATCCGGGTTAGGGGTTCAAGAATTTACCCGCGGTAAGACATGCCTGTTGTAAGAGGCGACTAAAAACTAAATAGTTCCCACGACAGTCGGGTCTTTATACCGCAAAGACCCGGATTTTTACTCGGCCAAGAACTGTCACGCCCGCAACATTCCCCAAAAAGTACTTTGGGGAATATTTATGCGGTTACAACAACAACATTATGATGCTAATGCTAATGCATTACCGGTCTAGAAACATAAGATGTTGAGACTCTAACACGTGTAATTTTGAACACGGCTGTCTGGTCACGTTGCACGTGATCTCCTTCAGCTATCTAGAGTCTGTTTCTTTGGCAAACCCCAAGTTTAAGCATATACTTTGCCGTGAACACAAGTAAACCTGCAACGTAAGTAAGTTTTATTAAGGTTAGAATGGTTCCATCTTTTGCTAGTTCGTCTTCCAAGCAATTGTCAGGGATTCCACTTTGTTTGGGGGCCCAAACCATGGCAGTGTTGCATTTAGGCGAGTGTTTGATCAGATTGCTTCTACAATTTTTAGCCACTTTTGTTAAACTGTAGATATCTGAAGGCAGCCTAATTGTGGGAATATATCGTAATTGGTCCTACTGCCTCTAGCAGAAATACATATTTGCGCAAAAAAAAAAATTATAAAAAATAATAATATGTATTTTTAGTTTAAGACAGACTGCGCACTTCATTTCTATTACATAACTAAATATAATTAAACAGCACTAAGGTGAAGTAAGTAACCTTGGGCCAGCGACCGACATACAGATGTACAATCTATTTGGTTGAATGGCCACAAACTAACCATCGTTACCTTGAATAATCGATTTTTTCTCTAATTTTTCAAGTAAATATAATACATATACATATGCAAATATGGACAATACAACTATACGCTTTGTGTATACACATATGCACACTATATTAATATATATAAGTATTTGGAATGTTTGCCAACATATAAAATTTACCATTATTATTTTAATAAATACCCAGTGGAAGAATGCATACTTGACTAATTGAGAAATATACATATGTACATATGTATGTGCATAAGCACGAGTACTTGCCTCAAAACCTATACAAAGCCTCATGGCTACCTACTAAACACATAAAGGCCAACTTGAAGTGCTTAGCTTGTAGTGTGATTAGCACCAACTTTGGTCATGGAGCATAACAAAAGATTGCACATCACATTTCCGACGCCTTGTGTTGCAATATGGAAATGTGAATTGAAAAACATGACATGACCGTGGCATTTTCGAAATTTTATTTGAAAATTTTTTATGCATTTTTTTCATTGATTTTTTTTTTTTTATATACAAGACAAGAAGGAGAATTGAAGTACACATGCAAAACTGCAATTATTTCGCTATACATTTATATATATATATATACATATTAGTATATACTGTATTATAGTTGTAAATATGTATTTAAATGCAACAAGTTTGCATCACTTCAAGCTTTGTAAATTTCCAAAAGAGCCTTTGAACTGTCTATCCGACTACCAGCAAGAAGCTTAAGCACAATTTATTCTCAATTGCATTGAGACGACGACGACGACGATGACGACGGCGACGGACGTGTGGTAGCGGCAGCTTTGATTATTAAGAAAAAGCAATGCAATTTGTCGTCTGTTTGTATGCTATTTGAGTGTGAGTGTCTTAAATGTTATCTGTTTGCTTTATGCAACTACATAAAAGACGCTAAGGAACCCCAGTAACCCAGATTTATTGGCTGCCAGCTATAACAGTTAAGTTCAGTTTGAATTACGCCGACGCATGTTCCAAGTCAACAGCGCAGCGGCCGCAAAACCAAGTTGGTAGTAGAATTACGAAAACAATGGGAAATATACAAACATATATATATATATATATATATATATATGTGTATATTATTGGTATATCAGTAAAGAAGAACAAGATTTAATTGCAAAAAGGTTGTTTACACACATACACACACACTCACACACATATGTATATAGAAAAAACGAGTTTTCTTGTTTGCCTTTGTATAAGAAAAGAATTGAGGAATCACTTGAGGCTGCAAGTACCGCAATCAAAAACCAAATTAAATTAAATGCACATACATATATACGAATATACACGTATGTATTGGTTGGTGGTAATGGTAAGCTCGTTACTTAACTGCTAACTGAGATTTTATTGCTGAACTGCAGAGATGAAAGATACGTAAACGTATAATATATAACGATTTATGTATGTAACAGTAACTACATACCGAATTGCCACTTTAGTATTTACATATAAGAATTGTATATATATAAATACCAAATGGTAAATATTTTTATTTAAAAAAAATATCAGCTTTGAACTTTTTCATACGAAATATTAAAGTAAAAATTTGGTTAAATTTTAAAGCGTGTCTAAGCAGTCAAAAGTTGGAGTTAAGAAAAAATATATTTTGGCAGTTTCTTGTCCATAAATACGTAAATATATAATTAATAAATAGTTTTCGTTTAAGCTTCTCCTCTAATTACCGGTGTAGTTTGCAATTTTTCTAACAAACGATAGCGCCTACAGCTCGTTCTATGCAGCCTTCGATCGAGCCATGGGTTTTTATGAGGAGCTTTTATTTCATGTCAAAAATGCATTCGGTTTGCTTGAGATTTTCTTGCGAGTGGCGATTACAATTAGAAAAGTAAATTATTACATAATTCTAGATCTTGGTCGGATCAGTACTTGAATTTTGGTTTTCCGAATGGTTGTTCACACTGCTTAGAACTCGGTTATTACGCATGGAGTCTAGTAAAGTTTTCTGGAAATACTTTTTTGATGTATATTTTCCAATTACCTCCCTCTGAAGTTGTGTTTGAATTAGTAAAACGATACTATGCAAGCTGCTTTAATGTCAAGCTTTCTAAACCAAGTGCAAATGCACAAAAAAAACTTCTAAAAGTATGTCACATCATTTACTTATGGATCTTCCACCACAGATTCGGCATCAGACAAAAATGGCAGTTGCAAGAATTTGTAACCTATCGTATGAATCGAAAAGCCGCTTAGTTTGGCCAATAAATATTGAACTCCAACTCCAGGGAGACCTGATTGCTCTTGTTGGTAAAATTTTCGAAACTCTTTTTCCAACTGTAGACACCGAATATTAATCTATACGTAAAGATGTTCTTTACCATTTCGAAAGACACCCATCATTGTGGAACGGCAAGCCTGTGACACAGCCTAGGTTATAAGAGGCTGGGGCACAGACTGAGTTATCTCAATTCAGACCATCTTTCATATAAATATTGAGCTTTAATATGATATTTCTTGTTTATTGCTTATTGCCTTGAAATAAGTATCACTAACTGTTTTACTAAGATTCCAATTAACGAGTTTCCCTCTGTGGCATTGTGACAGTCAGTTAGCTTGTGCAAGTGATTTTTATAGCGGGGCGGTCACTTAATGATGCAATTATTTAGCTACACATCAAAGTAAACTCAAACTTGATGAAGTACATAGTTTCATATATATCTGCAAGCATACATACATATATACATACAAACAAATGCATTTATGTATGATCATTTAGTGAAAAAGGTGCGAACTAAGGACCGAAATCTGTACTGCCTCAACATACACACACACACACATATATATATATATATTATGATATATATATATACGTGTATATACAGGCCTGGGTGCTTAAGTCACGTTAAGCTTGTTGGCAATTAAGAAAAACTAGTTGACCGAGTTGTTTTCATTATGCACGCGCAGGTGCAGCTGTTTTTTCTTATAGTGATTGGCACAGAAAGTGTTCAACGGTTAAGACTTGTCGAGAAAAAGTGAGCGTGTTTTAATGCATGATAGAAAGAAATATGATAGAATTGCAATAGAAGTGTTAAAGTCGGAAAATGTTTTATGTGAGTTTTTTTTAATTTTTTTTAATCATTATTTTTTTTTTAAATTTTAATTTTTTGCTTTTGTGGTAGTATGATAGCAAATAAAGTGTTGTTGCTAAGTATGTGTAAATGCTTATTTTAATGTGAATGTAATGCGAGTGTAAAGCTTAAAGTCTTATTTACCGGTGGCGCTTCGCTAGCCGTGCTGTAGACTTCACTGGCAGCATAATCGGGCTTTATTTGCACAGTAGCCATTGAGTCGGTATCCTTGCCGGTCATCTACGATACGCAAATAATATTTTAAGCCACACAAATAAAATGAGCGGATAATTTGGATTTGCTAAATATCTGGAAATGTGTAAAAGGAAAGAAATGAAATTTGTAATTTAAAATAATAAAAAAATATAATATTTTTTTTGAATTTCTAATATATTTTATTATTAATTATTATGATTTTTATTTCTCCTATATCTATAATAAGTATTGCAATAAAAATTTACTATTGCTTATTTATTACATTAATATATAGTATGTAAGGTTAATTTCCATAAAATACAAAAATAAATTGTTTCAGTTTTGAAAGTGTATTTCTATTGAAGAAATGTGCTTCGGTTTAGAAAATGCGATTTCTAAAATATAAACTTTTCTTTGACTTTTTAACGAGGGAATTATGTTATACATATATATGTATGTAGAATACTCTTTTCTTTATCTATTCCAACTTATAGTTAGAACTAAGGCGTGTCAAATCCAGTGTACAAGTATTTTTTACCGGTGAGGGATGAGCTTTAATTTAATTAAATCGTCTTGAAACGAGAAGCGCATTCTTCATACAGCAATAAGAAATCGTATTTGGCTATCAGACAGATTAGGAAATAAAGCTCCTAAAGAAAATGATTTTTAGAACCTCCAAATACGAAGAAAGTAGCTGTGAATTTGACTACCAAATAGCTGGGGGAAAAAAGCTCTTTAAGAAAATGCCTTTTTAGGCCTTCAAAAAGAGCTTTCCAACTAACAAGAAAATAGCTTTGAGCTTGCTTATGTAGCAGATTAGGACAGATAGAGCTTTTAAAGAAAATCTGTACTGGACATTGCTGTTATCGACATAAACTGTTTCAACGGTTCAATAGTAGAAAAGTAGGGTTAAAATACAAATAAATGCGAAAATTGTGTATCTTCGAATTATATTAATCCGAATATATTTTACCACTGTTTAAGGTCAACACAAATAAAGGGCAGATAAAAAACATTATAGCCAGGATATAACAGCACTAAGATTTTGAGTTGAATGGAACCTTTGGCATAAACTTTAGAAGATTTAATATTTATAAAGGTTTTCACTTATTAATTTTTAACTTATTTTTCTTAGTGCATATATGTAGATTCACATACTTTCATTTTATTATTAAAAAAAATGTTTAAATAAAAATTAAAATTAAATTTAAAATTAAAAAAATTTAAATTAATATTCAAATACTCCCAGTCTATTACTGATTTTGAGACCTCAGCATATTTTTTTATCAAAAAAATATGTGCAAGATTATTGACAACAAAAGAGTGCTCATAATTTTTTGAAAATTTTTTACACAGCATCACTGGTTTTTTATGCAAATATCAGTTTTTCATAAATCCATTCTTCAAGTTTTTTCTTTCAAAATTTCCACGAAGCTTATAGAGCTCATAATCCTTTGTTATTTTATTGTGTAGTAGAATGCTGAAAATGCATTTATTTAAAAAAAAAAAAACATAAATAAACATCCTTCGTCCTTTTCTAATCACACAATTGTATAAAACACTTATGAAATATGAAAAAAAAAATGTTAAATCATTTTGAATGCACACTCTTGCAGGTTTTGGTAATTTTCATTAAAAAAAAAATTTTTCAGTTTCATTAAACCAAACTTTTATTTGCTGCAAATGTCCTTTTTTATATTAATCAAAAAGCATGTTTACATAAAAAATGAAATGATCATCAAATTCATCACTTTTTTACAACAAAAAATAATTTCAAAGCCAGACATTTGTCATTTTTCATTTTCCATCCTTAATCTTAGAGTACACTTACAGCAACTTCTAATTGCGAACGCTGTCACAGTCGTCTTTTCTTTTGTAGAAAAAGGAGTAGATTTTACTTCTTCACTGATACACACTCAAACACAGAAATATGAAAATTCATATAATTTTTAGTTGCAGTTTTATAGTACAATAGATGGAAGTAACGTCGGAAATTTCCAAAAGCTTTATACGGTTTGAGCCAAAAGTACGTCTGAACAGATCGACTGCCACTCGAGGTCTGAAGTTCGCTAAGCGTTGGCTTTGAGATTTTTCTACCAGATTTGAAATGGATTTTTTTTCCATCATACCTTTTATTTTTCCATTCTATTTATTTTCTTTTCTGCTTTTGCAGGCAGTGTGTTGATTTTTTTTCCATCACACAAATACAGACATAATACATACAATACATATGTATGTACATATGTATCTACAATATAAGCGCCGTCGCACGCTTTGAAAGCACGTTTAAAAGCGGAGCTTACTGGTATTTTTTTGAATATGTTTGCATGTATGTATATGAGTGCTTCGTCAAGTCTTCATATACATATGTGAGTGTGCGTATGTGTGTGTGTGTGTGCCTTTGCTTGAGCGTAGTTTAAAAAAGCGAAAAAATATGTATAAAAGGTAAATATGAAAAATGCAAAAAATAAACAAAAAAAAAAACCAAAAGCAAAACGAGAAAAATGAAAACATAAAAAAATCATATAAAAATAAACACAAACACTGTTGTTGTAAAACTACTTTTACGAAAATTGTGCACAAAACATAGAGGGTATAAATCGGGGGAAGTATGCACGAAAAGGTGTAATAAATACATATGTACTCGTATACATACGAATATGTATGTATGTACTTATATGTTTTGTAGGTATTTATGTAAGTTTATTTAAGCGGTATATACAAATACGAGTATGTGTACATATGTATGTACATATATTTGTGCAAATGGGTATAACAAAAATTACATATATCGGCGATCACACAAATACATACACAACTGCATACGTGTGTATGTATGTATGTATGTATGTACGTATGTACATGCATTTGAATACAAGTTTACTTGCAGTGAGTCGATTTAGTTGTACTAAAATTATGAACGTACATACATACCGACTGTGCAATAAAAAAATCCTCATTGAGCAGCGGTGGCGGCGACTTTTGCAGTTTGGCGATCTCATCGAATTACGGCTGTGCCAGTGTTGCGTTCATATTGCAATGCTTGGCTAACTGGCTGGATTTTATGCACTTACTTACATACATACATACACGATTACAGTATAAACCCATACATACATATATACATATTGTTGTTATTATTGTGATTTTTGGCTGGTTTGTATTGCTAGTTTGTTTGAATAACTGCTTGATTGAGCGGCTGAATAGTTTCATATACAAATATTTATATGTACATACATACATGCATACATACACGTATATGTGAAGTAATTGCGCTAGTATTTGTGGCGACTGGTGGAGACGACAAATTTTTGCTGCCCCCAGCTCATCCGCTTTTGTCATTAATACTTTATACTAGTAGGTATATTAAATTTTGTTATTATAATATTTTGTTTTTGTTTTTTATTTTTTTTTTTTGTTTTTTATATTTTTTGTTTTTCTCAAATATTGTATTGTGCTTGGTGTTGTGTTTTGTAGATTATTTTGTATGTGCATACATATGTTTGTAAGCGGCTATAAAATTAGCAAAAAATAGATTTAAAATATTTCACACATACAACAATAAGAATTGTAATTTAAACGTTATTAGAGAAAATAATATCCTAATAATATTTAGATTTAAGTTGTTGTATTCAGCAGCTGTGCTTACTCATGTATGCACATACATATGTGATTTTACATATTTTGAAAAAAAAAAACTTAAATTATAATGCAAATCACTGAAAATATTTTTGTTTGATTTTATATTTTTTTTTTATTTTTTTATTTTTTAATTTAAATTGTACAAATAATATTGCAAAGTAATAAAAACTTTTTGATGTTGAGCAAATATTTGATATTAAACTAAAATTTCTTAAATGCCTATCCACATAGTTTTTTGTGATGGCACGACAATAATTCCGAACTTTATTTAATTTATTATTATTATTATTATTTTATTGAGCCGCATGGCAGGAAAATAATACATTCTTGCGCAAGTCGTGAGATAATTACATTTTTTTATGCTCCAATAGGACCTATTCAACCACTGACAGCCATATCTGTAGATTAGCGCTTTGTCCTATAAAATGTTCGAAGGTTATTATGGGAGGTTCTTCAGCTTCTTTTTAACTGGCGTAGACACCGCGTACGCGACTAAAGGCGAGTTAAAAACATTGCGCCATTACCTTCTTCTTTTCGCTTTCTGTCCAGCCAGGTTCTCTTCTAACTGATCTTTTCAAAGGAGTGGAGGTCTTCCCCTTCCTCTGCATCCACCGGTGGGAAATCCAGTTCATTCGGACTATGTGACCTAGCCAGGGTCGCCAGATATACATCTCGTTCCATCAGTTGCGGTATTTGCTATTCCCAATTCGCAGAGGACCATAAATCTTACGCAAAACCTTTTTCTCGAAACCTTCTAACGTCGATTCAGCAGATGTTGTCATCTTTCATGCCTCCGCGCCATATAGCAGAACGAAAATAATGAGTGGCTTGTAGAGTTTGGCGTTTGTTCGTCGGGAGAGGACTTCACTTTTCAATTGCACTCTCAGTCCAAAGTAGCACCTGTTGATAGGAGTGATTCTACGTTGAATTTCAAGGCCGACTTGGCTATTTGAGCTTCTGCTATTTTCAAGTTAGACGAAGTTATCTACGACTTATGTCAATTCGCAGTGACAGGAGAGCAGAGTTGCGAATGCGATGACGATTTGTTTGATGACAGGAGATATTTCGTCTAACGCTCGTTCACTACCCGACCCATATCTTTCGCTTCCATATCCAGGAGATATCCAGAACTAACGGCGCGTTTCTTGAAGCCAATGATGCCAATACTATAGGCGTAGGCCAGCAGTTGTAAATTTTTATAGTATATTGTACCTTCTCTCTAGAAATAGATTATAGAAATCGTACGTTAAGCAGTCACCCTGTCTGAAACCTCATTTGGTATTGAACGGCTCGGAGACATTCTACCCGATCCTGATGGTGTTTTTTGTTTTACTTTAAAGCCACACTTATAAGATTTTATCAGTTTATCGACAGTGAGATCTCTTTTTCGTGGATCGCGAAAAATACTCTTAGGCTAAAATCTCGCCCGCGTGCTTTCATTCAACCATATTTTGCAACGACGCTGATATATGCACCTTACCTATTCTTCACTGCCGTATTTGAATAGCACGGTCGGCAAATCCATTGGCCACGCCAATTAGTTGTTTTTCAAGCGGGCGATTCACTGTTCGAACTTCCTCATCGCCTTGCAAAGAAGCTTATGTTTCATCATCAATTGAGTAATCGGCTTCGCCATCTCCTAGTCTTGCGCTTTCACTAGGCGGGAGAAGTGCTCAGTATAATCTGGGCATCAGTAACTATATGGCCCCTCTGCGTCATATCAGAGCGCACTTCGGTTTTAAAGCCTTCTGTAAGACGTCTTATCTTTTCGTAGAGTTTTCGAGCGTTTGCCTTGTCGGCCAGTTTCTCCAGCTTTTCATGCCCACGCGCCTCGATATCTTTCTTAATTTTCTGCACGTCTTGTTTCTGTCTTCAATATTCGGTGTCGATCCCACGTCTCATGTTGATCATAACGTTGCCAGACAAACAGCCATGCTTTCTCTCCACTGCGGCATGGAAATCCATTTCGTACCAGCTTTTTTTGCGACCTTTTCAAAATCCAATTTGGAAGGTTAATTTAAAAACTTCTACTCAACACAAAGAAAAAACTCTAAAGCCGAATAAGGCAAATGTTGATATGAAGAGAGATTTTCAAGGTTTCAAAATTTCGCAACGCTTAGGATAGACTAATTGGTAACGCTTTGCTACTCAGAAGTTCAGACCTTTAAGAAGATATAATACGAATAATTGTTAAATAATTGATTTGCCAGTTGTATTTAGATATTGGCTGAGGTGAGTTAAGGTATTGACCTGCGACTAAATTCCTGAATTAAATGAGGGGTGAAATATTTAATACTAATTAAATCCGGGGAATCGGTTGTTTAATTTTCACAAGAATATGTATGCACGAGATGACTAACAAAAGTTCGGTAAGTTGACCAGAAAAAAACATTTTTGCCTTTATTCGCAATATTTGTCCTTTTCGATCTTCTCTACATAATCGTCATTGATTTCAGTACATTTCTTAAGCCTATAGATCCACTTCTGAAAACAGTCTTGCTTTTTTAGCTTATCAAGTTCAGCATTAACCGCATTAATTAACTCCTCATTGCTATTAAAGATCTTTCCTTTTATTTCTTTTTTTTTTTAATTTTGGGAAATAACCAGAAATTGCAAGGTGCTATATCCAGGGAATATGGTACTGGACGTATTTCTTTTATCTCATAGAACGCAATATAATTGCTCATTATTTCAGCAGTGCGGGATGGCGCGTTATCATGACGTAAAAAGTAGCGCCGGAAATCCTCTTTCTTCCTGTTTTCCAACAAGTTTTTGAAAACTTTTGGTAAACACTCTTCGGTTTAACATTTTCCTGTGTACCTTTTCCTGTGTAATAGCAGCTACGATTTTAGATCGGGTGAAGTAAACTGACATAAGTACATCTCTGTTGATTTTTGTTGCTTAGATTTGACGGGTGGGTTTGTTCCAGTTGGACTCCATACTATGGACTGCTGTCTGGTTTCTAGATGGTTATTATAGAACCAAGCTTTCTCACCAGTAACAACTATACTAAAGTTGCTAGAATTACCGTTTTTGAATTGGTTTCGGGAAAATTGAACAAAATGTACCCGAGCCTCTTTTTGGGTCGCATTTAAAATTCGTGGTATCCAACGAGCAGTTTTCTTCGTGTATCCCAGATGATTACTTAATATTCACAATACAGCCATTGTATTCAAGCCCAATTCATGAGCAATCATTTCTTGTGTCAAGCGGGAGTCTTCCTCTATATTGGACCTTACCAAAGCTGCAGTGACGTCATCAGTGGAATATTTTGATCGATCATCTCGGGGTTCGTTCTCTAGGGAAAACTGCCCGGTCTGTAATCATCGGAACCACTTAGAAATAGTCTTTTGGACTTTACCAAAGCTGCAGTGACGTCATCAGTGAAATATTTGGATCGATAATCTCGTGGCTCGTTCTCTAAGGAAAACTGTCCGGTC